TTGTTTACACACATACCTATTGACGAATGCTTGACACTCCTGAACACACTCTTATCCAATGACACATCCCTCTGCAACAGAACCAATCTTAATGTAGACGAGATCATTAGAGCGATTTCCGTTTGTCTGAAGTCCACCATTTTCACATATGATGGCACATTGTATCAACAAACCGATGGAGTGGCAATGGGTTCACCAATCACAACATTTTCATGGAGAATCTCGAAGAGAAGATACTCAATGCCACGCGAACACCACCAAGAGTCTGGTGGCGTTATGTTGACGATACGTTTGTAGTTATCAAAAAGGATTTCCTAGAACCCTTCTATAACTTCATCAACAACTTCCACAGTAACATTAAGTTTACAATGGAAAAACAAGAAGGAAGAATTAACATCCTAGACTGTCAGGTGGTTACCAACGACTCGGGCCATTTCTCCGTATCCGTATATAGAAAGCCTACGCACACTAGCAGATATTTGTCCTACTACTCCGATCACCCCAATAGTGTGAAAGGGACCTTGGTGGCAAATCTCCTAACCAGAACAAATCAGTTTGTCTCAAGAAAAAAGGACATACAGAAGGAAGTCCCACTGGTTACAAGGGAGTTACTAGATAACGGATATCTTTCCAGTGTTTTACGAAAAATCCGTAAAAAGCTAAGAAAGCCCACGGAGTCAAAAGCAAAAAGGACAGATTAGATTGCGACAAGTATTATCCCATATCGCCGCAATATATCGGAAGATATTCAACGTATTCTAAACAAATATAACATACGAGTGGCATTTCGGGCAACCAACACACTTCGCTCAAAGCTGATGTGACTCAAAGACAAGCGACCTAAAGAGGAGCAATCCAATCTCATCTACAAAATAAGATGTAAACAATGTCCGGCCACAGACGTTGGACAAACGAGCCGACAATTGAAGCAACGTTTAGCTGAACATGATAGGAAAACTAGGAAAGCACCAAAAAATACCGCAGAACTTAGGACACTTGAAAGAGACTCAGCAATCGCGCTACATTCTATCGCCGAAGGACACTTGATTGACTTCAAAAAACCAATTATTTTGAGACAAGGTCTTCAGTCAGGACGACTGATCACGGAGTCAGTGTTCATCAACGGCGATCCGAATTGCGTTAATCGATCGGACGGAGCTCAATTATCAGTCCACTGGCTTGACTCCGTTTAACATTTCACTCACAGACACTCACACACACACGCACACACGCACACCGGTTCTTTCCACACCATAGGTTTTCACACACTAATATCCTATAATCTATTACGTCACTTGTTTATTTTTCTGACCTCTTGTTACATTCCTAATCACACATACAAATACACACAATGCTTTCCATACCCAAAGATTAATCACAAAGCTCCGGTTTTTCTATATGGTTCTCACAGTTGACTCACGTGTTCACTTGTTAATTGACTTGATAAAGGCCTTCCAAGAGGGTCGAAACGTCGTCACCAAAAAATAAACTTGTTTTTGGTTTTTTCATCGTCATGGCTAATCCAAACGTTTTCCTTCACGGATCTAGTTACTTGTTAGTTTTCATTATATTCTTTGACTGTAGTAAAGTGCTCAAAGAGATACAACGAAATTTTTCGAGAAACCAATTGTGCAACGCTGTGCTGCTGTGTTCTTTATTCAAGTTCTTATCGGGAAATTTGAAATAACTTGAAGTCACCAATCGCATCAATCAAACACTTCCACAGCGAACATTGAAAATAAGATAGAGGGTGACCAACATGGCGGTTTTTGATTAATGTATGTATATGTAATTAATGGAGAAAGTAACCGAGAGAAACGTCGCAAAAAGTGAATGATGCGACACACAAGCGGTAGGCTTCAGTTCGTACATCACAGCGTATCATTACACTTGCTTAGCCTTATCTTACTTCAATACTATCCAGTTACATTCACTGGCCTATTGAGACAGTAGTTTAACGTCTTATATCATCATCATCTTCGACTGTAGATTATCAGTCACACGTTCTCAAGTTTCACCAAACGTTCACAAATCTGGTTCTTTGCACAGTGCCTCAATCCACACGATACGAATTGGGAAGTACTCGTGTCCAACAATCTGGTACGGACTGACCAATACACATGAAGGGAGAGAGAGTATTTCAACCTTTTGTGATTTCCACGATTGGCCAGTTGATTTTTTTATGTTGTTGACCAGATGTACCGATTGATTTGTTTTGACAGAAATTTAAGTATTTGTAGTCGCAATTGTTTCACAATACACAATACAGCACAATTATCCGTGCCCTATTACATTCATATTACAAAGCTACTCATGTTCAGCTAGATGTTACCGTGTAAGGAACAGACGCTGTAACCCACTGGGTCCAAAAGACACGGTGGCTTAATGGAACTTAATGAACCTATTAAATCCGTGCAACAAACAGGTAGTGCCGATGGTCTGTGTGATCAGTCGACTTGTGAGACTGTCTTGTATCGAACCAGAGGCATACACACACACTCACACACATCCAAGAGGCAGTTTTTCGGGAATGGACGTTGTACTCAATACACTTTTCATTGGATCCAACCTTTGTATAGTTCTGAAAATGAATTTACAGGCGTGAGACCAGCAGAGGAGAAGTTCAATGGAGTCTGTTAAAGTTGCAATCAGGGGAACAGTTCATTTAGTATTGATCCAGTAAGCCAAAGAAACGGTGGTCTCGTTGCTGACATGCTTAGAAAAATTGTTTTCGAAACGACGAGTAAATCAAAGGATGGCTGGGTTGTGTCACCCTGACAAGAAAACTAATGGTGTTTTTCAGCGTATCGTTCTCTAAAATAAGACTGTGACCGATTGTTTGGTGGAATCGGGAGATGCTCTCCACAAACTACTCACTTAGGTTACTGCGGCTGGCTCCTTGAAAAAGATAAACCGGCTCGAGACATGATCATGATCATGAAGTTCCCTGGGAGTTTGGCACGAGAAACGTCTCCAGAGTCACTCGTCGTCTTTTATTTTGAGGTTCCACCCCTAACCTTCGCACAACCAAGTGTGAACTGCAAGGTAGCAGGAAGTAACCCCTCGCCTCGGAAGTGAGGGGGTCAACGACTTTAGTTTTAAAAGGTTAGTCACATCCACCTTTGTCACGACACCATCATTGGGTTGATGTGGCTTTGAAACATAGGGACAGTGTGAAGTTCGCATGATCTAACCACATAAACACACCTTTCAGAGAAAAAAATATATACCAACCCATTTAGAGCGCACATTTCGGTAAGTAACGATTGCGAGAAGTGTCGTGCATCAAACAGACC